CGGATTCAGGACAGGACAAATAAAAAAAACTTGTGAAAATCTGACTCACTTGTATTGCAAAAGCTGGTCCTGTGTGACTACTAATAATAAAAAATAAAAATAGGCCACAAAACCTTGGTATATAACCATGTCCTTTGTCCAGCCCTGTACCACAACCCGATATTCGGAAAATTGCAACCTGGTTCACATCAAGTTTGAAAATGCGGCAAAATCTGATAACAGATAGATAACAACAAAGTTAATATAGGGTCTCTATTTATACCAGCACAACCCGCCTAAAATTCCCCTCCAAATCAGACTATTAGTCAATCCAGACACTGCCCCTGTTACAGTAAGGCCAAACCAGGTTTTATTAAAAACTAGGAAGCCCCCGGTTTCCATATCGGAGAAGCCCCAACTAAAAGCTCCTCAAAGCACCTCCCCGCCCTTAATCTCCCTCACCCTCGCCGACATGTTAAGAATTAAGGTAGCGGCTAAAGTTAAGACCGGGACAGCAGCCTTAGTGCATGGTAACCATCATCTGCAACAACTTAAAGTAGCCATAGATAAAGACCTTAGAGCCATAGAACAATCTATCACAAAACTTGAAGAGTCCTTGACTTCTCTGTCTGAAGTTGTATTACAAAACCGACAAGGACTAGAAATTGTCTTTCTGAAAAAGGGCGGGCTCTGTGCAGCCCTGAAAGAGCAATGTTGTTTTTATGCAGATCATTCAGGAATAGTTAAAGATTCTATGGCAAAACTAAGAAAAAGATTAGACAAGAAAAAAAAAGAGAGAAAATCTCAACAAAGTTAGTTTAAAAATTGGTACAACCAACCCCCTTGACTTAACACCCTAATCTCCACCATCTTAAGACCCCTCATCCTACTCACGCTCATCCTGACTTTCGGGCCATGCATACTCAACCGCTTACTCACCCTTATTAAAAATAGATTAAACATAGTACATGCTATGGTTCTGACCCAACAATACCAGACCCTCAGGACTGAAGAAGAGGCTCAAGATTGAGCCTCTGACACAAAAAGAGGAGGGAATGAAACTAGGCCGCATAAAACTTAGAAACTAGGCCTCATAAAAAAAGAACTTAAAAAAATTAACACCAGGTGGCTCTGGATAGGGTCCTACCCTGCCTCGATAGGGTCCCACCCTGCCAATTCCAGGAAACAACCTCATGGGGTCCCACCCTGCCAATTCCGGGGGTCCCACCCTGCCTCGAAGTTCCCGGAATCAACAACTCCAGGAAAAAAACCTCACAAGGTCCTGCTCTAACCAATTAGAACAAGACACCTTGCTCAGGCCATAGACAGACCCAATTACCACACGCCTAAAGCTTTGTTTGAATTTCGTGCCCTAAGCTGTGTTTGAACTTGTGTTTGCCTATATAAACAGCCTGTAACAAGCAGTCGGGGTCCCAGGGCCAACTTAGAGCTTGGGACCCTAGCGCACTAGTAATAAATAACTCTCTGCTGTAAATCTCGTGTCGGTGATCCTTCGCGGCGACCCCTGCCCAGGAGGGAATCGACAGTTCGGTTCCAACACTAGTAAATGGTAGAGAGGGAATATGACTGAGAGCTAAAAGAGAGGAATGGTCAGCATCACCTCTGAGTTTGGCTGAGGACCAATCATGAAACCCAGGGAAGACTTCATCGGGAGGAGTGGCTTAGAGGAGGCAGAGAAGCTTGATGGGAGCGGGAGGAGGGCAGAAGACAGCAAATTCAGGGAAGCAGGGCAAAGTCCGAGATGCTGGAGTGCACATGTAAGTTTGGGGAACGATGGTCTGGTCTGGTCCTACGTTGATGGTATGTGAGAGCTTCTACATAAAGTGGGAGCTAGCTGGGTGGCTGGTGCTAGTCAAAGTGTTTCTGTGAACTGCTGAGAGACCAGATGACATAAAATTACAAAGAATTATTAAAAATACTAATAGAAGATACAGCACAGACCAAATTCCTGTATGTATGAAGCCACACAGCAGCTCCCGCTTGCAAAGGCAAGAGGAGAATTCAAGGACATTTCAAATTATCATGAACTCCAGAGAAAAATTTTACCAGTACTTTTATCAAGCTGAAGGAGACAAAATTCTTTCAGCTTCAGGTGAAGTGGTTCACTAGCAGGGTGGGGCTCAAAGCCAGGATTTTCTAGACTGGGCCCAAAGGTAGGAAAGGGAAGGACCATGACCAGCAAACTTGTAAAAGGCATTAATGATCGGGACAGGAGGCAGAGAAATTCTAGGCAGACAGGGGCAGATCCCCAGCAAAACCCCACCTTTGAGCCTAGAAGCCTGAAACCCTTGGTCCAAAGTGATAACATCGATCCCTGTTTGTGTGCTCTCTCCTGATTGGCTCTTTCTGAATAATATCTTTTTACCAACCGAATGTTGCCTTTCCCAAAACTACCTACGGCCCGCCCGCCCCACATCCTGTGCCTACAAAGACCTCAGAGACTCACTTGGTAGACGAGAGAAGTGGCTTGACTGAGGAGAAGCAACTTAACTTTAGAGGGACGATTGGGCTTTGGAGGAGAGACGGCTTAACTTTAGAGAACGCCGGCTGGACTTCCGGGAAGACTCCGCCAGTGCCGTCCCTTCTCCAGCTCCCCTCTCCACTGACAGCCACTTCCATTGCTACATAAAATTCCTCTTCTCCACTATCCTTCAAGTGTCTGTGCAACCTAATTCTTTCTGAACGCCGGACAAGAGCTTGGGACTCACCCAGTGTGGGTACCCAAAAAAGGCTGTCACACTGGCCCTTTGCCCTCGCTGGCGGGGAGCAGCTGCCCCATGCAACAGGCAAGGGGCCCACTGAACTGATAACGCACTGCTGTCCAGGTACGGCGGAGCTGAGCATTGTAACATACTCTCTGGGGCTTCAGGGGTCACAGGCACCTCCACCTGGTCTGGCCGAGGGGACCCCACAGAGCCTGCTCCTGCCAGCGCCCAAAGCGGTCAGCTGGATCCCGCACTCGCTCTCACATGCGCTCCCTCCCACAACAGGCTGAGTGCGGGGTCCAAGTAAATGGAGTACCCCTGTTACAAGTCTGAAGGGTTCAAGAGAAAACTCCTGCATCATCAAGACCCTAGTTTCAATCGCCTATGCTGTTCTCGAGTTTCCTAGTGCTTTAGGGGACTAATGTTTATTACACAAAAGTAGAATAGGATCCCCCCACCCCCGATAGTACCACCACAAAAATGTTAGATTACTGCCCAATGTGGAAAAAAAATAGTTTTATAGACCCTGATATATTTGTGTTATCTGGCATGTACAATTTATTGCTTACTAAATAAAATGGGCAAAAGAAATACCAAAATATTCGTTTAAAACATATTCATTAACAAGAGTGATTGTCTCTACGGAGAGGCCCTGGTGTTTTAGGAAGGATTGGTAGTGAAGCGCAGAGCTAGGGCAAAAAGGTAGGGGGGAGATTTATTTTTCACTTTTTTCCTTTTATGGCAACTTAACTTTGTGTAAGATGCAGGTATTAAATACACACACACACAATTTTCCTTTTGTGTCAATTTAACTTTGTATAATATGCAGGTATTAAACACACACACACACAGACACACATGCATTGATTAATCACATCTTGAGTAAATCAAAACCCAGGAAAAGTTTTCATTTTAATCGCGCTACTGAGTAGAGATAAACAAAAGGTACTGAATAATGAAAAATCAATCATCCTGGCTAGGCATAGTGGCTCATGCCTCTCATTGCAGCATTCTGGGAAGCTAAGGTAGGAGGATCGCTTGAGCCAAGGAGTTCAAAACCACCTTGGGCAGCATAGCAAGACCCCATCTCTATTTATTTAAAAAAATAAAATTAAAAAAAAAATCAATAATGCCAGGAAACAGTAACATTCTAGACCAACTTCTAAAAAAAAAAAAATCATGAGTAGATATGAAAATGGTCAGTGTAAAATGAATCCTAAATTGCTGGGCTGGAATAATTCATGTATCTTTTTTTTTTTTTTTTTTTTTTTTTTAAAACAGAGACAGGGCCTTGCTCTGTTGCTCAGGCTGGAGTACAGTGGCATGATCATAGCTCATTGCAGCCTGAAACACCTGGGCTCAAGTGATCCTCCTTCCTCAGCCTCTTGAGTAGCTGGAAATACAGGTGTGTGCCACCACGCCTTGCTAATTAAAAAAAAAAGTTATCTGTAGAGATGAGGCCTTGCCATGTTGCCCAGGCTGTCTCAAACTCCCGGCCTCAAGCTATCCATCTGCCTTCGTTACCATGCCGGCCTGATGTATACTTTTTATCTATCATTCCATTAAATAATGATGACAAGAATAACAATAGTTCCTACTTACTGAACATTTACTATGTGGGAGGCATCCCCTTAAATACAGGTGCATGCCGCACCACTCAGCTAATTTTTGTGTGTGTTTGTGAGAGATGGAATCTTGCTCTGTTGCCCAGGCTGGAGTGCAGTAGCATGATCTCAGCTCACTGCAGCCTCCACTTCCTGGGTTCAAGTGATTTTCCTGCCTCAGACTCCAGAATGGCTGGGACTATAGGTGTGTGCCACCATGCCCAGCTAATTTTTGTATTTTTAGTAGAGACAGGGTTTCACCATGTTGGCCAAGCTGGTCTTGAACTCCTTACCTCAAGTAATCTGCCTGCCTCAGCCTCCCAAAGTGCTAGGATTACAGGCGTGAGCCACGGCACTCGGCCCACCCAGATAATTTTTGTACTTTTTGTAGAGATGGGGTTTCGCCATGTTGCCCAGGCTGGTCTCGAACACCTGGGTTTAAGTGATCCACTTGCCTTGGCCTCCCAAAGTGCTAGGATTACAAATGTGAGCCACTGCGCCCAGCACTGATGAAAATTAAACACTGAGAAAAACTTGAAAACTAGCTAGACTATGGATGCACATCTATTTATGATCACGTTTTCTCCTCATACTATGAAAAAGGCAAGTCTTGCAGAGTCATGGCGCAGGGTCAAAATTAACCTCAACAACTAGTTCTATGACTGGATACATTTTACTTCTAGAAACTTACCAACGGTGTGTCTTTTCCTCCCACAATGCTGAGACCAAGCCCTGAACGTCCCTTGGATATTTCTATAATCATTTCCTGTCCGGGGACAATGGGGCACGTTGCGGGATCCACTGACAGAGGAGCCTGGAAACCACCTGGAAAAGAACACAGCATGACTGGCAAGTAAGAGTTGCAGCTCAGCCTGCACGTTCCATCACGTGGGGAGTGTGGGGCTTGCACGTGACAAACACCACGAAGCAAAAAGCTGGGTCATTCCTGCCTATTCAGCCAGGGGTGACACTGTTGAGATTAAAATGATAACTCCCACCCCTCAACCCATCAATTTTACTTGAAAGTTTTAAATCTTATTTTGTTCATTTATATTTTTGAGACAGAGTCTTACTGTGTCACCCAGGCTGGAATGCAGTGGTGCGATCTCAGCTCACTGCAACCTCCACCTCCTGGGTTCAAGCGATTCTCCTGCCTCAGCCTCCCAAGTAGCTGGGATTACAGGCACATGCCCCCATGCCTGGCTAATTTTTGTATTTTTAGTAGAGACGAGGTTTCGCCATGTTGGCCAGGCTGGTCTCGAATTCCTGGCCTCAGGTGATCCGCCTGCCTTGGCCTCCCAAAGTGCTAGGACTATAGGTGTGAGCCACTGCGCCTGGCTAAAAGTTTTATTTATTTATTTATTTATTTTTTGAGACGGAGTCTCGCTCAGTCGCCCAGGCTGGAGTGCAGTGGCCGGATCTCAGCTCACTGCAAGCTCCGCCTCCCGGGTTCACACCATTCTCCTGCCTCAGCCTCCCGAGTAGCTGGAACAACAGGCGCCCGCCACCGCGCCCGCCACCTCGCCCGGCTAGTTTTTTGTATTTTTTAGTAGAGACGGGGTTTCACCGTGTTAGCCAGGATGGTCTCGATCTCCTGACCTCGTGATCCGCCCGTCTCGGCCTCCCAAAGTGCTGGGATTACAGGCTTGAGCCACCGTGCCCGGCCCCAAAAGTTTTAAAATCTAAAAATACATCATGAAAATCTGTATAGAAAAATTACAATGATTAAATGATTAGGTTCATGAAGGCCTATGTTACAATGAGAATAAAGGCTGGTATAACAGGAGATTCTGAGCTATAGAATACTAATTAAGAAACAGTGCCTAAATACTTTCAATTAGAGCATATCAGATGAATTAAATTATTAAGATGTATAAAGGATATAATCGATAAAGTATGAAATATCTGAAAATAACAATTATCTAAAATTTATCCCCAAATATATTACATAGTAAGGCAAAATGTATTATAAACACAGGACTCAAAAATTACTTGTGGGGTTCATAGAGGAAAAGTTTATTTAAAAGTTATTGCTTTTTTACAAAGTTTTATTTTTAAAAACAATTGTTTTCAGTTGGGTTTTCCCAAAGAGTGAGGGAAAAAATGTTTATAGGCTAAGAAAAAAATGTTTAATAACACCTGTTTATCCAGCATAAAATCTACTTACATGCATTTTCCAGATAACTGAACGTAACCTATTAAAAACTCAAAACATTCGCCCGGGCGTGGTGGCTCACGCCTGTAATTCCAGCACTTTGGGAGGCCAAGGTGGGAGGATCACCTGAGGTCAGGAGTTCGAGCACAGCCTGGTCAACATAGTGAAACCTCGTCTCTACTAAAAATACAAAAAATAGCTGGGCGTGGTGGCTCATGCCTGTAATCCCAGCTACTCAGGAGACTGAGGCAGGACAATCGCTTGAGCCCAGAAGGCAGAGGTTGCAGTGAGCTGAGACAGTGCCATTGCCCTCTAGCCTGGCCAAGAAGAGTGAAACTCCGTCTCAAAACGACAACAACAACAACAACAAAACCTCAAAACATTCAAAATGTTGAATAATTTCAAGAGATGCTCATACAAATCATAATCTCCAGAGAATGTCATATTTTCTGATCACTAAGTTTGATCACCATGAATATTGTTTCCTACATTATGATACAATTCAGGCAAGGGCTGATGAGAGAGGGCCCCATCTGCTGGTCAGCTGCAGCTAATGCACAGAGCTGAGGTGAGATCCCAATGCTCATCAAACCTATTTTGTAAAAGCAGGGGTCAGCGGACTACAGCCCACGGATCAAGAATGGCTTTTACACTTTCAAAAGCTTGAAAAAAGATCAAAAGCAAAATAATGTCTCAAGGCATGTGAAAATGATATGAGTCTAAATCTCAGTGTCTGTAAATAAAGTCGTATTGGAACACAAACCCACGAATTCATTTATGCCTAGCCTATGGCTGTTAGCATACTACAATGGCAGGGGTGAGTAACTGCAACAGAGGTTGTGTGGTCCATAAGCCTAAAATATTTACTATCTACTTCTTTATAGAAAAAGCTTGTCAATCACTGGTATAAAAGAAAAACAGGCTGCAGGTGAGCCTGTGGGGGTTCTGCTCTAACTAAGTGATAATCATGGTCTTTGGGATGAAAAGGTTTTGGAGTGGCAGAGAGCCACAGTTGAGTTCCTAAGCAGGAAGTTAACAGGAGGGTGAAAGTGGAGCTCACTTCTCATCAGAAAAACGTTATTTTTCTATTAAAGAGGCTGTTAGAGGAACTAAACGAACAGTGTGTGTGAGGTGCCCAGCCCACAGTCTGGCACATTGTGGATATTCATATATCTGTTGTTCCTGTCCATATGGGATTGATTAATCTAAAGGCCTCCTGGTTAGGAGCAAGAAATTCAGTGACACAACCATAAAAAGTGCCATACTTAGAAGTAGCCTATGGTGGCTAGCACACAACAATTGCAGGAGTGAGAAACTACAACAGAGGCTGTGTGGACCACATCCTAAAATATTTACTATTGACTCCTGTACAGAAAAAGCTTGCCAATAAAACAAAAAGAAACACGCTCTAGGTAAGATAGAGGCAAGGCAGAATATTAAATTGTAAACCAAATTTGTCTCTAAATCTTTTTGCAGTATATGTATTTTGTACTACATTTCCCATTAATTTACAATAAAAACGACATATGATAGGCACACTTTCATGGGTGCTTTAAAAAGTTTATATGGCTTTTAGGCTAGGTGTGGTGGCTCACGCCTGTAATCCCAGCACTTTGGGAGGCTGAGGTGGGCGGATCACCTGAGGTCAGGAGTTCGATATCAGCTTGACCAACATGGTGAAACCCCGTCTCTACTAAAAATACAAAATTAGCCAGGCATGGTGGCTCACGCCTGTAATCTCAACTACTAGGAAGGCTAAGGCAGGAGAACCACTTGAACCCGGGAGATGGAGGTTGCAGTGAGCCGAGATCACACCACTGCATTCCAGCCCGGGCAACAAGAGCAAAACTCCGTCTCAAATAAATAAATAGATAAATAAATAAAAAGCTTATACTGCTTTTGTAAATGACTAGCATAGTCTCCTCAGCGAGAAGAGAGAAAAAACACCTGGTGAGACATCCTGGAGATGGAATTTCTTTTCCCTCCTCCACGTCTGCCTCACCCCAGCCGGTCCTGAGTCAGTCTTTTTATTTACTTCTCTCATGGAATCCAGCCCCAAACCCGGCTCATACCAAGTCCTCAATAAATGCGTGGTAAGTAGATGAGTAAATGAATAAAATTTCTACAGATTCAACTGTAGGATGATGAACTTCATGTATTTATTTATTTATTTAACCATGAGAATGAAAACCAGGAAGGATGCTGAATTTCTGTCATCTGAGTATAAATATGTGATATATATTACCAAAACTCAGCTCGTCTACCTCCATGGTCAGCATGCATTGTTGGTAACGTGCCATGTATACATATTTAGGGCATTATAGGCCAGACTGTCTCTGTTGCGACCACTTAATGCCATCATTATAGTGTGAAAAAAGCCACTGACAATACAGAAATAAATAAGTGAGTGTCTATAAACCTGTATTTGTAGAAACTGAAATATGAATTTCATAGAATTTTAAATAAAATGTTCTTTGGTGTTTTTTCAACCTTTAAAAAGTGAAAACCTTTTTTAGCCTGTAGACCATACACAGCTAGCTGGTAGGCCAGATTTGACCCATGGGACATAGTTTTCTGACCACACGTATCAAGTGTTTTAGTACAACCACAGTGCTTTAAAATGGTACCTGCCAGATGAACTTTATGAAGTTAATATTTATGAAAAAATATATAAAAGACAAATACCACAAAGATTTCAGGACTGCTAAATTAATGTAGGGTTATGCTTTGCCATTGGTGAGTACTGTCTTTTAAAGAGTTTTTTACTGATGTATACTGCACAAAAGCAAAGTAGGGCTGGGCACAGTGGCTCACGTCTGTAATCTCAGCACTTTGGGAGCCTGAGGCAGGCAGATCACTTGAGGACAAGAGTTTGAGACCAGCCTGGCCAACATGGTGAAACCCTGTCTCTACTAAAAATACAAAAATTAGCCAGGCATGGTGGTGGGCTCCTGTAATCTCAGCTACTCAGGAGGCCGAGGCAGGAGAATCACTTGAACCCGGGAGGCAGAGGTTGCAGTGAGCTGAGATCACCCTCCTGCACCCCAGCCTGGGTGACAGAGTGAGACTCTGTCTCAAAAAAAAAAAAGCAAAGTAGAAATACCTATTATTCATTATAAAGTTCTATTTTCAACCCCCAGTCAACATAATTCAAGCCAGGAATTTAAAGAGAGAATGTGAATACCAATTTGGTTAAGCATTGAAAATCAACATTCTTCAAACAGCTTATAGCAACATTTGCAGGACTAAAAATTGGGTTTGATAGGATTTTTAAAGAGATATTACTCAAGACCGAAATATGATCTTTTGTAGAGATCAGAGAATAATAATACAGAAGCCTCAGAGTCAAATAACATTTACCAAGGTCCTTTTCTTTTCTTTTTTTTGAGACAGAGTCTCACTCTCTTACTCCAGGCTGGAGTGCAGGGGTGCGATCTCAGTTTACTGCAACTTGTGCCTCCTGGGTTCAAGCGATTATCCTGCCTCAGCTTCCTGAGTAGCTGGGATTACAGGCATGCACCACCATGCCTGGCTAATTTTTCGTATTTTTAGTGGAGACAGGGTTTCACCATGTTGACCAGGCTGGTCTTGAACTCCTGACCTACTGAGGTCCTTTTCTGTTGTTGCGCTTTTATATTCAAAAAGCAATAGGCAATGGCGACGGCAGAGAGGAGGAAAATGGTGTAGGAAATGAAGTGGCCTATCCCAGCCCCAAAGCTAAGGAAGCGGAGGAAGCATCCAAAGTCAGGCTTTCGCCTCCTGGTCCAGTTCTCTTTTTAGGACATTATGATCCCTTGCCTTCTCTAAGGCTTAATGAGCCAGATCTGCTCAGGGAAAGAATCATACCATAGCCTATGAAGTCTGCGTCTGTTGAATGGTACGATGAATCTGGTGCTAACGGTATCTCTTGTGAACTGAAGGAGACTTTTGTTGGATATTTTTGCTGTTTCATCTGGCTGACAGCCTACAAAAGAAAGGAAAATTAGATGAATATCAAAAAAGAGAAAGGTAACAAGAAAATACCTTCAAACTGGTGTATTGTTGCCAAAACAATGGTGCACTCCAATGATGTTTTCTGAGAATATAAGGTTGGAGGGTGGCAAGAAGTTAGGATAATTTATGCTCATTCCTCATGCTTCCCTATTTAACTTTACAACTAAAATGCTTTGATGAAGGGCAGATCAAGGAAGGGAGGAAAGATAAAAGCTGAAGATACTCTGTCAGTGTGATCTGCACATGAAGCTGGGGGTGGGAGGCAAAACAAAAATTATTTTGCAATTTCTACTCATTCTGATGAAATCCGCAAGAAGCCCCTTTATCTACGGACTTTGAAGTGACTTATCTGTCTTGTGTACATTGAAAAACAATCTACGCTGGGGATGTTTAGAGCATCAACATTCTCCATTTCTTCTCGACACACTAGAGTCAAAGATGCATTTGGTAGGTTAATTAAACAAAATGAGGGGCAAAGAAAACCAACATCTCCTGAAAGCCTACTAAATGCCAGTTACATCAGTGACATTTAATTCACATAAAGGAACTGTGCTTTATTCCCCTGTGATACCCAGTGCCTGGACATAGTAGGGACTCAATAAAGTGCTTGATGAATGAATGAACAAGTGAATGAGTGAAGAAAGAAAAGCAAAACTGAAGACATGAGAAACTCAGGGTAGAAAGTGAACTTGTAATTCAGTGAAGGTATGGGGCCTTTACTGTGTGAGTTTGGGAAAAATTAACTTGTAATTCTGGATTTTTGCTGACAGTACCTCCAATGAATATTAATATTAAAAATCTAAGAGGCCAGGCACGGTGGCTCATGCCTGTAAACCCAGCACTTTGGGAGGCTGAGGCGGGCGGATCACCTGACGTCAGGAGTTCGAGACCAGCCTGGCTAACATGGTGAAACCCCATCTCTACTAAAAAAAAAATACAAAAATTATCCAGGCATGGTGGCACATGCCTGTAATTCCAGCTACTCTGGAGGCTGAGGCAGGAGAATTGCTTGAATCCAGGAGGCAGAGGTTACAGTGAGCCGAGACCGTGCCGTTGCACTCCAGCCTGGGCAAGAAGAATGAAACTCCGTCTCCAAAAATACATACATACATACATACATTCATAAACTAAGAAAAACCAAAAGGACTCCTTGCTTATTTAACAGGCAGTTAAGAAATATAGGTAGTAACCTGACCTGCCTTCTGGATCTGCAGTTGGCTAGGGAACCATTCCCCAGCTGGAAGAGTCCGGTAGTCAGGCTGCCTCTGGAGTCTAGAAATAGGACCCAGGTAACTGCTCCAGAACTGTAACTGTAACTGTAACACCTCAAGATTCTGTCAGTGGAAAGCCGTGCCTCAATATAGGGCACTGTGCAGTGTGCAGTAACAACAAAACAATACCATCCATTGTGCACATGCACTGGGCTTTCTAGTTTCCAAAACACTTTCACATCCATAAATTCATTCAATCACATGAACAACCCTGACAGTTAAATATTACTTTTTTTCTTTTTGCAGAAAACCAAGCATAAATGTCAAGTGACATATTTGAAGTCACACGGCTAATTAGAGAAGGAGGTAGAACTGAAAGTCAATAGTTGAAGAATGCTACAAGCTTAAAGTGTTTATCAAACAGCTGATAGGCAATGATTCTATGGATGTTCTTTTCTTTTTTTTTTTTTTGGACAGTTTCTCACTCTGGCACCCAGGCTGGAACAGTTGCGTGATCTCGGCTCACTGAAGCCTTGCTCTTCCTGGGCTCAGGTGATTCTCCTACCTCAGCCTCCTGAGTACCTGGGATTACAGGTGCACACTACCACACCTGGCTAATTTTTTGTATTTTTTAGTAAAGATGGGGTTTTGCTATGTTGCTCAGGCCGGTCTCGAACTCCTAGACTCAAGCAATCCACCCACCTCAGCCTCTCAGAGTGCTGGGATTACAGGCATGAGCCACAGTGCCCCACCACTATCACCATCATTTAATACTGACTAAAAAAAGACTTATTCAATTACACATTTATCAGTGATTTTAAAAGGAAGGAAGTGGAAAAGGACAAATAAGGGGTTACTATAAGAAAACTGAACATTAAGAGGACTTAGATATCCAATTATTCTAAGGACCACATTTACTAGCCTCATTGAAGGCAGTGTGCCAATAGGCTAAGTCCTGGTCAATGGGATGTAAACAGAAGTGAATGTACAATTTTTAGGTCATTCTCCTAAGGAGAAAGATCCTGTCTTCCCCTTCCCACTGCTTGGAATGCAGATGTGTTGGAAATAACTGAAGCAGCCCTCTTAAACCAAAGAATGGGTGCCACCATTTGAGGATGGTAGAGTAATTAAATAAGAATAGTATAGTAATCAGATAAGAGGTGCTTGAGTCTGTGACACTTTGGAGACACCATATCATCCCCCAACTGACCACACACAGATTCTTATGCTAAAGAGAACTTCTTGCAGTAATTGAGCCTGTATCTTAACTCACACAGTACTTACATCCAACTTACATTTTGTATCACCTTGAGAAAGAACATGGATTCCCAACAAAGCTGGGTACAAGCTGCGGAGTTCTTTTATGAAAAATCATGCGACTTTAAAAACAGGAAAGCACTAGAGAGAGCAGTCTAGATTACCAAATTATGACTTTTCCATTGCACAAGATGATTGTTGCTTTTCTTTATATCCCAGTTTCATGTAGCATCTGGTGCATAATAGGTCCCTGATAGATATTCGTGGAATTGAATTCAATTTAACAATAAGGAAGCAGTCCATAGAATCCAAGTGAAATGTCCAAACATATATACATAGAGGCAGGCCTCCAGTTGTCGGTATGTGTGGTGATGGATAAAGGAGTGTTCCCATGACTCATACATTGGCACAAAACTAAACTACTATGTAAGAAAGATCAGAAAGAATGGATTTGCTGTTGTATGTTACCATATTATAAGAACTGAGATGGACTTTATAGGTCATCCAACCTAACTAAACCTGTGGTTTTCAACTCTGTTTCATAATACGAACACCTACGGAGCTTTTAAAAATTACAGATGCTAGGATCCCCATCACAGACAAAATAAATTAGCATCTGGGGGTGTGGAGCCCAGGCAAGTTTTTTGTTTTTTTTTTGATTGAGACTTACTGCTTAAGACTTAATCTTTTAAGAAACGCTGGCTTAATCCATGGTTTAACTTTAAACGATAAGTCTCAATTGGAAAAACAAAAACAAAAAAACTTGCCTGGGATCCACATCCCTAGACGCCAGTTTATTTGGTCTGGGATGAGGGTCTTAGCATTTGTGACTTTTTAAAAGCTCCCTAGGTGTTTCTATTATAAAACAGGGTTAAGAACCACTGGTTTAGTTGTAAAACACCCTTGTAGTTGTTTCAAAATTGTACTTGTCAGCGTTTTTCTAGAGAAAGGATTTACATTTCATCAGGGCCGCATGATAGGAAAATAAAAATCGCGACTTAAAAGAAGGTATATGCTGCTAAGTTTGCTATCACTAATTAGCTGTGTGACCACAGACAAGTCACTTGACTGCCCCATCTATAAACGGGTGATACATCTATATATTGCAAGGTTGTTGTAAAGATTAAAGGTAAATAAATAAACCCATCACTGTGCCAGAAATAATTTAGGCTTAATTAATAACAGCTATTAATGCTTTTATGTCCTTTTAGAACATATCAATACATGATCGGCCAGCTTCTGATGGAAAACCTTCAGGGATGGAAAATTCCTCTCCTGAAGAAGCTCATTCCATTTTGGAGCAGCTCAGAGGGTGGGAAGGTTCTGTATAATGAGTTGCCAGCCTGACGGCACATGATGCCCATTGACCTCTGGGCCATTTCTCTTTGGAAGCCACAGAAAGGGCTTAAAATCACTTTCCCAAAGGAGAATAATTTAGAAGTTTAGGTGCTCATTGTTCTGTAAGAAGAAGAATGTAAGATGTTATTTAGGATTCGCCCTAGTTCTAAAATTCTATGGTTGTAATATTTTAGAGGTGTTTGTTATGTGCTTGAAGTAGGTGGGAGTATATAAAGTTTTGTTTGTTTGTTTGTTTTTGAGACGGAGTCTCACTCTGTCACCCAGGCTGGAGTGCAGTGCTGTGATCTCAGCTCACTGCAACCTCCGCCTCCTGGGTTCAAGTGATTCTCCTGCCTCAGCCTCCTAAGTAGCTGGGATTACAGGCGGCCGCTACACGCCAGGCTAATTTTGGTATTTTTAGTAGAGATGAGGTTTTGCCATGTTGGCCAGGCTGGTCTTGAACTCCTGACCTCAGGTGATCCACCTTCCTCAGCCTCCCAAAGTGCTGGGATTACAGGCATGAGCCACTGTGCCTGGCCGGGAGTATACAAAGTATTAACACCTTAATGGTATTTGCAAATACATTCAAGCAAAATCTGCTTTTAAATTAAAAAAATTATAATTGGCCAGATGCAGCAGCTCACACCTATAATCCCAACATTTTGGGAGGCTGAGGTGTGAGGACTGCTTGAGCCCAGGAGTTTGAGGGTACTGTGAGCTATGATTGCACTACTGTACTCCAGCCTGGGTGACAGAGTAAGACTCTGTCTCTTAAAAAAAAAAAAATTGCTTACAGGTTTTCAGTTGAACTGAATTTGGTTATTTTTTTTTTTTTTTTTTTTGAGACGGAGTCTCCCTCTGCCGCCCAGGCTGGAGTGCAGTGGCCAGATCTCGGCTCACTGCAAGCTCTGCCTCCCGGGTTCACGCCATTCTCCTGCCTCAGCCTCCTGAGTAGCTGGACTACAGGCCCGCCACTCGCCCGCTAGTTTTTTTTGTATTTTTTTTTTTTTTTTGAGACGGAGTCTCGCTCTGTCGCCCAGGCTGGAGTGCAGTGGCCAGATCTCAGCTCACTGCAAGCTCCGCCTCCCGGTTCACGCCATTCTCCTGCCTCAGCCTCCCCAGTAGCTGGACTACAGGCGCCCGCCACCTCGCCGGCTAGTTTTTT